AAGGGCTTCCTATATCCTGGGTGCTATGTTGTTCCAGTTGTCCAAATGAAAGCTGAATTCTGTCCATTCTACAATGTAGGTCTGCCATCTAAAGAAACATCCAACCTCTATCTCAGCCGGCTGCCTCTGCTCATTCAGCAGGGTGCCAATTTTCCTTCACTGGAAGTGTGCACTCTCCCCGTAGAGGAGCAAGATTCAGCAGTTTAGACAACATGTTTTCTCACCCTTTGAATAGTCAGACACTGACTAAAAGAATAAAGGTGACCGATACACCTTTTACCACCAAAAGCCCTGACTTCTAAACCAGTTGTATTCTCCACCTGCACAATCATATGTATGATCCACCTCTCTTCACCCAAGATAGACATGAGCAATGGAGTGCACCAACCTTAGCAGCCATTGCCTCCCTTTCCAACTTGAATCCACTTGGCAGGCCCAAGCAAACATACTGCCCAGGGCTCATGTACTTGTGCAACTTCTTCCCCCACCCCCACACACCTTGTCTCTGGGCTTGGTTTTAGGTCTGGCTTTGACCCATGAACATTAACAAGCAGGGTGTAAACAGAGGCTTGGTAAACCCTTGCACACTGGAGCTGCCTCTTGTGGTACACTCTGTTGCAAAGTCGGTCTTGTCTCCATGCTATAAAGAAACTCCAGCTAGACTACTGAAGATGAGAGGGCACAGGCAGGGAGCTCTGAAGGTGGAAGCCTTTAGATGGTTCACCCCAGTTGAGCTGCACATTATAACTCAACCAGACAGGTACAACTGAGGCAAAAGAAGTGCTTGGCTGAGCCCTGTACACCCACAGGATCACGAGAAAGAATAAGTAGCTGTTGCTCTAAGCCACTAAGTATTGGGGTGGCTTGTTACACAGCAACAACTAAACTGGTGAATCTCTACTGGAGGTTTTAAAGAGTCCCTCTATATCCTCTCTACACAAGAGCAGAAAGGGAGAAGAGAAATTAAGGCTTAAAATATCCTCAAGGAGTAATAGTTCTACCTACCTCAGGCAAAGTTCCTTAGCAAATTAGTCATTTTGTTTCTCTCTCTAATAAGGATAATAGCAACCAATCCTATGTATGTCCACATGTATAGTGTGAGGTTAGAAGAGGTGATATATTTATTTATTCATTTACATCACAACTTGGTCAAGAGGAGATTTAGACAGGCTAGGGCAATTGGTAAAATATTTTTCATGCCCAATAAATGAATGTGGTTCATAAATTTCAGGTATTATAATATTTATTGAAACATTTCTTCACTTATAAGCCCTCACTGCTTCCTGGTCTCCTCTATCAACATTTTTATAAGAAAAAATGTTCATTGCTTTACCTAAATAATTATTAGCCTGATTAATAATTGATCCCTTTCTACCGTTTCCATTTGGAAATAGAAACACTTGGCTTTCAGCAGTACCTGATCAGTTTTGGGGGTGACGGTGAAGTGATTTAGAAAAGGAGCCAGTGTAAAGAAAGGGGCACTGAGTAGGACAACTGGGCGGATTAACCATGTGGCTGGTGACATGGAGGACTGTCTAACTTTCAGTAGGCTCTCAGCCACACAAGGGCCAACCACAAAAATCATTTAAGTTTGTCACAAAGGCAATAATTACTCATATAATGACTCCACTTCATTCTCATCCCTTAGGCTGAAATAAGGTAATAAAGGAGGTAAATTGTGTAGATAAATTAATGCATTGCAAATCCACTCATCAGTTACTGTGTCTGGTTTTAGATCATTAATGCATAATAATAGCCTATGTGCAGCCCTCCTAGCTTCATGGATTGTTCTGAGATTTTTATCTCAGAGTAAACATAGGAACCCAGGAAGAGCCAGGAGAGAGAAGGGACACAGGGGGAGGACACTCAGAGTAGGGAGAAGTTAGGGAGTTCTAGATGACTTTTCTGTATGTTTTTTAACCAGTAAAACCTTTGATAAATACATGAGTCAAGCCAGTCTAACTATTTCAACTGATACTGCTGTGGTTGGTGACATTTTAGATACATCAGTCCTAAGTTCCTATTGAGTATCTCTTAGTAGAGATACTTGAGCAGATTCAAAACAGAATTCTGACTCAGTCAGCTGGGTCTGGTATAGTCTAAGTCCATGACAAATTGGAGCACAAAGAGCAGTCAATCTTTCTGATTTTCATGGTAAAATCATTTCTTATATTTACTCCTGAAGCACATGAATTGTTTTTCCAACAGCCACTTACAATACTGATACTTGTCTTAAAGTGAAACCCTGAACCAGCTATTATCCAGCAACTGTCAAAGAGTGACCAATGCAATTGATATTTCCAAAAGCTTGTGTACTAAGGGATATACTAGAACATCTAAGTTCTATTTATGCTTTAAGTTTGGACTATAAGAATACACCCAAAACAGCATGCTTGGACTGTAAGAATACATGCCCTCTTGGGAATGTTTTCCAAAGTGACAATCAGCATATGCCACGTTGACGTTATACCGCTTGCTGTTGGATTGAGAGGAAATGCTAGAAGCTGCTATATGGAGAATGTTTCTCCATCTCATGCAAAGCCAGGTAAAAATGTAAAATATTCACATCAACATTTGTGGCACCCAAATTCAAGGGAAGAAAACCAATTCCCCTCTAGAGCCTCCAGAAAGCAACACAGCCCTGCCAACCTCTTGGTTTTAGCCAACGAGACCCATATCAGATTTCTTACCTCCAGACCGTAACGTAATAAATCTGTGTTGTTTTAAACAACTTATAGCAGCCGAAGGAAGCTAATACAATGAGTTAAGTTTGAAGTACCTGTGGGACATTTAGGAGGAAAGCAGCAAAGGGCAATGGGATCTTCTGCTCCAGAATGTCTTCTCTTTTTAAAGATAAATGTTGGGTTCCCAACCACATGCATCTTTCATGTGCACTCTGTGCCTCTTCAAGACTTGGTTTTATTGTTAGTATTGCATATTGTACCAGATAACAGGGGAAACTGTGGTTGGGGGACTCGGGCTGTTAAACGAAGACTGTAAAAATGTAAGAATGTGCCAGTCTGCAGCAAGAGCTTCTTGCATGACAAGAGTCAAGGGACAGCCCAGCACAGGGCTGAGGAACACGGCAGATCCGTGACTTCCGCATGATGCCTGGGTCACAATCTTGCCTACTGACTCTCTAAACTACTTTTGTACACCGAATTCACAGCTCTCCGCTTCACCATCTGCAGGATTCACTTGTCAGTTTTCAGAGAGGTGGGCCGCCCCCGACAGTTCCACCAGGTCAGCAGCAGCAGCCGCGGCAGCTTTGTTCCACACAGCCAGCCTGTGCAACGAGGCGTGTGATCTGTATAATGTTGCTCTGATTTTATAAAATTAATGGAAATGAAAAAAAATGAATGTGCTGTTACCCATTAAAAGTGTAAGCCTCATAAAATTTAATAGAAATGAAGATGGAAATCCTTAGGAATCAATTGTCATCTCAGTGGGATGCCCACAGGGACCCGAGCTCATGGACTGAGGGTCCTGCTGTGAAGGAAATTAAAGGAATCATTGAAAGGGGTCTACTAGGAAGACCATGCAGAGTGAGCATTTACTGAGTGCTTACTGTGTACCAGCGCTTTACATCCATAACCTCATTTGACCAGAGGATGAAAGCATCGGCTGATTGGGTAAGTGCCATGCTTATCCACTTGAGAGGTTAGAAAGTTGTTTAGACTCAGAAGGGTTAAAAGGCTAAGGAGCTTAAGGAATCAGAACCAGTCAGTGGCAGAGCCAGAATTCAAGCCCAAGCAGCCTGACTCCTCCCCATGTCCCTGGTTGCCACCATTACCTCCCATTATCACCATCTTGACATCATCTCCCTATCTCTCCCTGCACTCCTTTTATCTTGTTCAGACTGGCCTCTGGCACATACCAGATGCCCTTCTGCCTTGGGGCCTTGGAACCTTCTTTCCTTTTAAAACACTTCTCTCCCAGATACTTCTCATTCCTTCACTCCCTTTGAATCCACAAATGCCTCGGTGTAGCACATGGTCACATCTACAGTGGCTGGATGCTCTGTCCATGTGTCCCAGGAAGGCCCGGCCAGGACAGGGGAGACAGCCTGGGACTGGGTGTGGAGTAACCTCTGAGTCCCTCTGGGCTGGGGTCAGCTGCCCTGTGGAGGCCGGGAAACCAGCGCCTGGGGTGCTTTCGGCACCCCCCAGCCATGTGTGGAATGAAGTGGTACAGTAGTTTTAGTTGCATGCCATGCAGTCTTCCCATTCACTGTGGCTGAACATCCAGTGGGTACTCCTAAAAGTTGTATCATGGCCTGTGCAGCGCCATGTGGAGCACAGTGGATGGCTCCATCCTTCACAGGATGACCTTGAGGCTGGAGGGTAAAAGCAAGAAACTTCCAGCCCCTCAGAATAGTCGTCTCCCCAGGGTCCCATTTCCCGGAGCCCTCAGTACAAGGGCCGCATCCTCATGGCATGAGGAGAAGACTGACTTCAAGAAACTGAAGAAATCACACAGAACACAACAGCACTTCTCGGCGCCCTCAGGACCTGGGAACCCTGGTCCTCAGCTCTACGGCTGGTAAGGGCTCACAGTGCCTTTGACTCTAACCTCTTTCAGGTGATTTACAGATCTTGGATGTCTCCTCTGCACGTTCAGGATTCAGACAGCCCAGTGAGAAAGGCGGTACTGTTTCCAGATAAGGAAACTGAGGCTCAGATCGCTGGCTGTCTCAGCTTCATCCCACACTAGTGCTTCTCTGAGCCCGGACTTTTGGCTCCAAGAATAGTGCTCCCTCTAACACACTGGGACATCGGCACACAATCTGTGAGGAACATGTAGTCAGCGGGTGCTTACTGTCAGACTGTGGCTCCAGAATTCAGAGAACCCCATGCTGAATGAATTAGCACTTCAAATTGGTTGGAGATGCATTCCCAGAACGCCTCTCAGTGTATGTCACAATGCCTCCTAACTAGTGCTTCTTCAAGATGTGGCTAAACACCTCCAACAAAATTCTTTGATAGAAAAGGCAAGAGCCATTATTTCCATAGGTCAGAATTTATTTCATACCATCTCATTTATAGCATTTTCAAGTACAACATTCTGCTCAACATCATCTACACTTGAAAACAGAAAAGCACAACTTGGTAAGGCACCAGGTTACGTTAGTCTGGAGAGAAAGCCTTGCTCCCATTTTGGCTTGTGTTAATACCTGGGTAGTTTCTCTTGAGTCTGTCAAGCAGAGAACAAGGTTATAAAAGGTCCATTTATACATACATGGTAACAAGAGAAAACAAACAGTTTTGAAGTATGCTGTATTTTTAAATTATAACGGTGGCCTACACTTGTAGTTCAGCCAAAGTGGCATTCTCTAAAGCAAAATTTTTATAAAATCTTCTCTGCAATACCAAGCTGCAAATTTAACAATTTTTTAGCTTTGAAGCAAACCAACTTTATATTTAACTCAAGCACATACTTTAAAAACATTTTCGGCCCCAAACTATGTTCACAAAGAAATAAAAATGGAGGAAAATCTCAAGTATAATCGTACCTTTACTATTCTATAAAATGCAGCAATATATTTTAAAAACTGTTGCATTTAAAGGTCAACCCACTAGATTTTTAACACTAACAGTCCAAGGTGTTATCAACCCCAGTTAAAATTCAACTGTTTGCATAAAGCTTTCAGAACTGGGCCACACAGGTGTGCTTCACTAAGCACTTTCCACCCGTGGCCTAAAGGCAGGAGGTGCGGAAGGCCCCTCCAGGGAGACCAACTGCAGCCCCATATACTGTCACATGCATAAAACTTCTTTCAAGTGTTGTGTTCTATCTTAAAAATGAATTTGCACTATACTCCATGCTATTTACTTTAATATAAAAATAGTGTTTCAAATCGCTTACCAGTTAAATAACTCATCTTCCCTCCCACACCTCTGGACACCAGACAGGCAGAGCCCAGCCTGGGAAGCCTAGCTTTCCACAGATAGGTAAGCCAGGCACGGCAAGATGAGACTGTATTCGATTAGGTCTATTTTAAGCTTTTCCACAAATCATTTTATTCCTTCAGGTTGTAACTAAATGCTCCAGGAAACTATGACCGACATCACTTCCAATGTGTTGAATAATCAATAGTTAACAGTCTATGTATTTTAGTGGTTTAAAGATTAATCTTTTGTTAAACAAAGAAATTTGTTAATTTTATTTACTAACAGGAATAAATAGAACCCCTAACCTAAAGTATAACCTGAACTTTTACTTTTTCTATAGAAAAACACAAACTGGATTTCTTTTTAATATAAAAAAGACAACACGAAACCCACAGAAAAATAAAACTCTTCTATCTAACTGGCTTTACAGATTTCCCTCGTTAGTTGTGGAAGTGACTTTGGTGGCTCTGGTTCACCCACCGCAAGCCCGACACTGTTAACTCAGAGTGTTTAGGCTGCCTTGTGGTGTCTCGGAAGCATTCCTACCAGAGTAAAAACTACTCTCCTGAGATGGCACATTTTCTCCAGAAGATTCAGCCCTAAAAGCTGCCACCTTGAAGGATGTATTTCACTGTCACAGGAAGCAGCCAAGCATGGGGGCCAGGGTCCCGACATGCACCTGGCTGGCCACACGCCCCGCCCCTCAGGAGTCCTCAGAGTCCGCTGGCGTCTGCTGCTACTGCCCTGAAAGCCATCTGTGGCTTTAACTGGTCGTTTTGACAGGTTTCAAGAGATGTTCATTTTATTTTTTGTTTAAGATGTCCTCAAAAATGTATATATTAAGATACACTTAAAAACATACTCTGAATATAATAAAAAAGATGTTGGTTCAAAAAAGTGTCAACAAGAAGAGGAAGCCAAGCTTCCCTAACTGTGTTTGTGCCCATGCTTTCCCCATTAACTGTGTAAAAGTCTGAATCAACAGCAAACACAGCCATACAGACCTATGTATTTGTGTGCATGAGTGTGTGTGGGTGTGCACACAGAGAAGTACATCTTGGCTGACTTAAGAAAAACTGATCTGTGTTGTGTCCCAGACATTTGCTGTTAGCCTTTCAAGAGTATTCACCTCCCTGCCGAAGAGACAGCTTGAGTATGGAAGTTTAAAAACAATCCAGATAGGTGCTCCCTGTTGCCGTTGTTACCTAGGATGGAGGCAGCTTGGTGCATGTGTTACAATACCGAAAGCAAATGTCACTTTCTGATCTCCACAGGAACCACTCCCTAAAACATGAGAACTCCCGACTAACACTTGCTTTCCTCCACACAGCACTTTGCCTATGTTCATATGTGTCAACACAACTGGTCTAAGAAAGAAAAGTCCCAATCAGCAAGTCTCCTTTTTTTGTCTACACAGTGCCAGAGTCAGTGGGATGTTTTTTGCCCGTTGTTTTTAAATCATAAGCCACGGGTATTAGCAAATGACAAAAGTGACTGCTTTGAGGTTTTGTAGGCAGAAGGTCTCTCATTTTTTCCCCCAGATTTTTGCTCCTTGAAAAAAAAAAAAGGCATGGTTTGCATGGAGTTTCAAAGCTAAGAACTGTTCTTACCATGGTTGACCTGTGTACATAATGCACTGTGCATTAAGTAGCCCTTAATCAAGAGAGGGTTAACCACAGCGTTCCTCCCTTTTGCTCTTCTGTACATTATAATGTAGCAGAGCTTCATTCTTGACATCCAGATTTGAGGTGTCTTCTTCATATTAGATATAAATTAACCAGAGGTCTAGAACTCTAACTTTCCAGAGATGTGAAAAAATTTTAATTTACTTCAAAAATATCTTGCATAAGTATTTCATCCCTAAGCTCAAACAAACAACAAGAAAATTAAAGGCAAGAAAGAATACATCAAATTGAGAGCTCCTCCTATAATACATATACACACACTCTTGATATAGGTTCTACACAGTAAAAGAAGTTGTTTCAGCTAATATAGCCACTAATATCGATTTCATCTGAAAATAGCCTTTCTGGGTGTCTTGCCAGCATCATACGAAACAGCAGTACTTCTTCCACCAGGACTTGGAGAGGTTTTTCATTTTATCTGGAGTCCTGCTTTTAGACTTCTTTGGCTGTTGCTGAGTGTCCGAGTATTGAATGCCAGCGACGATGGCTGCATCAAAGACCTCTTTGAGGTTTTTTTGAGTCAAGGCTGAACACTCGATGTAGGAGGCGGCTTTGATTTCCTCGGCGCACAGCTTAGCCGCCTCTTCAGGCACTGGCTTTTCTTTGCATTTGTCCAACTCAATGAGGATTTTGACGTCTTCTCTGAGATCCGACTGCGTTCCAACTAGGATGATGGGGGCTTTGGGACAGTGGCATCGAATCTCCGGCACCCATTTCTCACTGACATTCTGGAAGGATGAGGGGCTCACGACACTAAAGCAGAGGAGGAAGATGTCCGTGTTGGTATAGCAGAGAGGCCTCAGCTTGTCAAATTCATCCTGCAACCAAGCAAAGTACCCAAAAGTTTTTTTTTTAATGAATTCTCATCAGTAAAAAGATCATCTTCACATTTTTCACGAAAGGGTCCGGCAGGTGATAGAAGACCCACTGGTTCTAGAAGGAAGAGCCAGCATTCTTGAAACGATCCTACTGTTTACCCAAGTGGTTCTAGCGCACCAGCAAAGGTGTGGCAGCCATCTGCTTTCAGGGCCAGCTATAGTCTGAACACTGCCAAATACGTTCACCATGTTCATTGACACTGAAGACCTACTTGCAGCTTAACATAGAAAAAGTGCTCAAAGCATGTGGGTTCTAGAAATAAAATGGACTTAAGCTTTCAGCTGAGTGTAACCCAAACTTACTCTCAATTCTTGGTACTTAGCTACTCTTCCAGGATTCAGACCACACCCTTATTGATCCTCAAGACTCCCACTCAACCCCATTCTATGAACACAGCTCCTCTCTTTACCAATCCAGCCCTGCCTTTTCCCACAACAGCTCTGAGTGATGCTGATTTCATGCCGTCTGCACTGTGCACACGCTCCGTCCACACCATGCACAGCAACGCAGAGTAACGATAATCAGATGCAAGGCCAGACCAGAAATGGAGTTGAGGACCTTTTTCAGTCCACTGTCATCAGTGACTCAGAAAACGTGTGCTTCTCAATGCCACATACAGACACTGGTTAATACATCCTCATTCTGGCTGTATCTCCTCTTCCTCCCTCCCTCCTACATTTTCTCCTACTTCCTTTATCCTTGCCAATACCCATGGCCTCCGTGTACAGCACTTTGGACAGATATGAACTGGAGAATGACCCTACCCTTAAGGTACAGAGAAGTGGGTGGGTTAAGTTAGAGTTGATTACAAATAAACCAACGGTTGCGCTGCCAATGCTCTCCCGCAGTCATCCATTTAACAGACACACTGAACATCACCTACACTCAAGGCACAGTGGCAGACAAAGGGATTTGGTTGTGAACAGAGAGATGTTGGTCTCCAAATTACCATTTCTTTATAGAAAACACCCTATAGTTCCCTATAGCACCATATTCAGCTAACTGAAAACTTTCGCTCAACTCTTTTATAGAAAAATATTTACTCTTTCCTATTTAAAATGTGTATCTGTTGGTGCCAACCATCCTCAGGTGTAAATAATTTCCCCATGACAACAAAACGTTCAATGGCACTTATGTTTTTCATTACTCTATCTTAAAAATGAATTTGCACTATACTCCATGCTATTTACTTTAATATAAAAATAGTGTTTCAAATCGCTTACCAGTTAAATAACTCATCTT